CGTCCACGATTTCATCATCAAGACTAAACGTTTCAGCTCCTCACAAATTAATAATTAAATAAACCGGACAATAACCTCATGATTGACTATTACTTTTGTTACAAACGACTTGTTAGACACACACAAGCTGTAACTTTCTATTTATGTTTTTGTATCTGATGTAATATGTACAGACATATTATTTAAATAATGTCTATATCGATGACGTCACATCCTTCATTTCAATATGTAATTTATGTTGTATGGGAGCGGTGTTAACATAAGCTGTAAAGCTTGTTCACCAATCCCAACTCATTCCAATGAATAAAAATATGTTTAAACCACATAGAATTTCTTAAGAAAATACAGTAGAAATGCTTCACTTTGAGCACCTTGTTTTCTTTAAATACGATGTACCGTGACATTAAAAAGTGGTATATAGGTAGATATAACACTAATCTATAGATGTAAACACATTTGAAGATACATCTGTGTGTTTAAAGTTGATTTTGACAGCCCGGGCCAAGTCGGACCCAACACAAGCCAAACACTTCTGATAGAGACTATGTTGAGAATGTAAAGGGAAAAGGGCTTCACTTTGAGCACCTTGTTTTCTTTAATTACAGCGATCTGAGACACTATAAAGTGGTATTTAGGTGGATATAATACTAATCTATAGATGTGAATCCATTTGATGATACATCTGTGAGGTTTAAGTTGATTTTGATACCCCGGGCCAAGTCGGACCGAACACTTCTGACAGAGATTTTCTTAAGAAAATACAGTAAAAATGCTTCACTTTGAGCCCCTTGTTTTCTTTAAATACGATGTACCGTGACATTATAAAGTGGTATATAGGTAGATATAACAATAATCTATAGATGTAAACACATTGGAAGATACGTCTGTGTGTTTAAAGTTGATTTTGACCGCCCGGGCCAAGTCGGACCCAACACAAGCAAAACACTTCTGATAGAGAGAATGTAGAGGGAAAAGGGCTTCACTTTTGAGCACCGTGTTTGCTACTGCAATCTGAGACACTAAAGTGTTATATAGGTAGATATGATATTATAATAAGTCTATAGATGTAAAGTATGTGTTGTAATTTTAGAAGCGCTTTGACAGTTATTAACGCGTGTCGTGTCAGTCCTATGACATTCGCGAATATCAACTTGCAGAAAACATCCTGTGTTTGTTTAACATGAATTAGTAAATGTTAATTAGGTATGCCAAACACGTTAATTAATGAAAGAAGAGTAGTCAAAACACTGTCATTTCGAATTCCTGCCCAGGACATCACAGCCCTGCACGCTAAGGTCGGTGAGAAACCTTCTCATCAAAGTAAAGACACAGTCAAGACACTGACTTTTCGGTATGAACTCTCGGTAGTAAGCTATAATTATCAGTTTATTACATTGCTGAAGATACATTTTGATTCAAACTCAATTAAATGAGCAAAACTATCCGTTTCTGGACATTTGAGATCTGCCTAGATATGCACGTTTCGTTTTATTATTCTCCAATCCTTTTTTAGTATTACCCACTGGCCCGGCCCGGCCCGACTTTTTTTGGCCCGACTTTTAGGCAATCCCCGACATGGGGTTGTCCTGGTTTTATGTATCTGTAGTAGGGTGCAAAGTTCAGTGAAACATTTGCACTCAAAGTTTCTTCCTTGATCTGTAAATACTTGGAAAGGGCAACCAAATCTAGAGAAAAAAACCATCTACGGCAACCTTGGCTGTTACCTCAGCCATTTAGGGTAGGCAAAGCTATGCACTCCACCCGTTTAGTGAATTAGTCAACCATAATCAAGATGTATTGATTACCCAACTTGCTTTTGGGCAAGGGGCCAATGAAATCAAGATGAACTCTTTCCATGGGCGCCCCTGCATGAAAGTTGATCATTGGTGACCGCATGTCGTACAGGTCCTTTGTTTCGGCTACAAGTTGAACACGTGCTTACATACAACTTTAGATCTTGTACCATGTCATGCCAGTAGAAACGTGCTTTAACTCTGTCGATTGTTTCTTTTTTCATTCCCAGATGTCCCACGGCCGTGATGTCATGATTCAACCTAAGCACTCCTTGCTGTATATCGGAACCACCAGGGATGCCTTGCATCGTCTTGTCTTTTCTTTTATGAGAGGATCAACATATAACAATCCCTGATTGCCGATCCGAAATGAAGTTCGGTTCAACCAAAAGTGTTTTGCTGTGGGACTGGCCAAGAAGAGACTTGATTCACTCGTCTCTTCAGCAGTTTGAATCCAACCCATTATACTGGCCAAGTCTGTATTATATCTCTGCTGATTGCTTAGCTCCTAGGCCGAATACCCAAATTGTTCTTTCTGACCATCATAGGTCACCACAGCTACTGGGGTGGTGTTCAGTGGGAAACCAGAATCCCCATTGGATTGTATTTCAAGACAGGAGACCGACAGGCCACAATCATCAGTCATCCTCAGAGAGGCAATCCCGCCCAACATGGGCCAGAGGAATGGTGTCATCCACATCCTTGAAGAACCTACTCCAATTTTCATGAGCCCGAGTGCATTATTTGCATCTTCCACAACTTTTCAACATTATTTCTGGTTTGTAGTTATGGCATTGGCCCCCTTGTGGAATACGTGATAGACCGTCCGCGTTGGCATGCAGATTTCCTGGGCAATGTTTCACCACCATGTAAATTCTTCCTGCTACTTAGCCAATTGGCCATTTGGATTCCGGAAGATTTACCCATTGGAGAATGTTGTGATCAGTCCTAACAGTAAAACGCCGTCCCAGCAGATAGTGTGGAAACTGCCTTGTAAATCTGATTACTGCCAATAGTTCTTTTCTGGTTGTACAATGTCGTCTCTATTCAGCGGTCAAAGATGGCCATGGCTCTAAGTTCCTTTGTTTACATCCCTGTACCTGATCTGGGTCAAAGATGGCCATGGCTCTAAGTTACTTTGTTTATATTCCTGTACCTGATCTGGGTCAAAGATGGGCATGGCTCTAAGTTACTTTGTTTATATTCCTGTACCTGATCTGGGTCAAAGATGGGCATGGCTCTAAGTTACTTTGTTTATATTCCTGTACCTGATCTGGGTCAAAGATGGGCATGGCTCTAAGTTACTTTGTTTACATTCCTGTACCTGATCTGGGTCAAAGATGGGCATGGCTCTAAGTTACTTTGTTTATATTCCTGTACCTGATCTGGGTCAAAGATTAGTATGGCTCTAAGTTACTTTGTTTATATTCCTGTACCTGATCCTGGTCAAAGATGGGCATGGCTCTAAGTTACTTTGTTTATATTCCTGTACCTGATCTGGGTCAAAGATGGGCATGGCTCTAAGTTACTTTGTTTATATTCCTGTACCTGATCTGGGTCAAAGATGGGCATGGCTCTAAGTTACTTTGTTTATATTCCTGTACCTGATCTGGGTCAAAGATGGGCATGGCTCTAAGTTACTTTGTTTACATTCCTGTACCTGATCTGGGTCAAAGATGGGCATGGCTCTAAGTTACTTTGTTTATATTCCTGTACCTGATCTGGGTCAAAGATGAGTATGGCTCTAAGTTACTTTGTTTACATTCCTGTACCTCATCTTGGTCAAAGATGGGGATGGCTCTAAGTTACTTTGTTTATATTCCTGTACCTGATCTGGGTCAAAGGTGGGCATGGCTCTCAGTTACTTTGTTTACATCCCTGTACCTGATCTGGGTCAAAGATGGGCATGGCTCTAAGTTACTTTGTTTATATTCCTGTACCTGATCTGGGTCAAAGATGGGCATGGCTCTAAGTTACTTTGTTTATATTCCTGTACCTGACCTGGGTCAAAGGTGGGCATGGCTCTAAGTTACTTTGTTTATATTCCTGTACCTGATCTGGGTCAAAGATGAGTATGGCTCTAAGTTACTTTGTTTACATTCCTGTACCTCATCTTGGTCAAAGATGGGGATGGCTCTAAGTTACTTTGTTTATATTCCTGTACCTGATCTGGGTCAAAGATGGGCATGGCTCTAAGTTACTTTGTTTACATTCCTGTACCTGATCCTGGTCAAAGATGGGCATGGCTCTCAGTTACTTTGTTTATATTCCTGTACCTGATCCTGGTCAAAGATGGGCATGGCTCTAAGTTACTTTGTTTATAACCTGTACCTGATCCTGGTCAAAGATGGGCATGGGTCTAAGTTACTTTGTTTACATTCCTGTACCTGATCCTGGTCAAAGATGGGCATGGCTCTAAGTTACTTTGTTTATATTCCTGTACCTGATCTGGGTCAAAGATGGGCATGGCTCTAAGTTTCTTTGCTTATATTCCTGATCTGAACTGGGTTTACATAGATATAGATCTAATTTATTTTATTTATATTCCTGATCTGAACTTTGTCTACATTTGTATAGATTTAAGTTACTTTATTTATATTACTGATCTGAACTTGGTCTACATGGATAAAGATCTAAGGTACCTTACCTTATATTCCAGATCATCGTTCCTCAAAGCGATCTTAGTGCTACGTCTATCGTATGCCGGTGTTAAAGTATGGGAGTTACGATCACCTTGGCGCTAAGATGGCTTTGTAGGAACAGGGCCCTGAACTAGGTCTACATGGTGGGGTGAGGTGAAATGGGGTTTAACGTCGCGTCCAAGATTATTGCACGTATATAGCGACGTGCATGTACGTGTGTGTGTTTGTCTGGCTGCTTGTACCAGTCCGGACTGATGCCGATTTATAGTGCTAGCTCACTAGTTGAATACCCCACTCAGACACAGTATACTGACTCCGAGCCGACCAGTCCTTGTTTTAGCCCCTTAATGCCGAGCGCCAGACAGGGTAACAACAAGTACCATCTTTTAACGTATTTTGGTATGACGCGGTCAGGGATCGAACCCCGGACCTTCCGCTTTCCGGGCGGACGCTCTACCACTAGACCACGGAGACTGTAGTTCTAGATGGATATAGATCTAAGTTACTTTACTTATATTCCTGATCTGAACTTGGTCTACATGGAAATAGATCTAAGTTACTTCACCTTAAATTCCCGGATCTGAGTCGGGTCAAACATGGTCATCACGTTGGACATCTTTCGGCGTCGTTTCATACTGATGCGTATCTGTGCCATAGTTGTATGGAACTGCAAATGGAGGAAAAACCTGCACCCGATTCATTCGTGCTTGTGTTGTAAAGAAATAGTATAGGAATCGTGTTGTACTCTCAGTAAGATACACTGTGTCAAGTTGTACTCTCAGTAAGAGACACTGTGTCAAGTTGTACTCTCAGTAAGATACACTGTGTCAAGTTGTACTCTCAGTAAGATACACTGTGTCAAGTTGTACTCTCAGTAAGATACACTGTGTCAAGTTGTACTCTCAGTAAGAGACATTGGGTCAAGTTGTACTCTCAGTGAGAGACATTGGGTCAAGGTGTACTCTCAGTAAGAGACACTGTGTCAAGTTGTACTCTCAGTAAGAGACACTGTGTCAAGTTGTACTCTCAGTAAGAGACATTGGGTCAAGTTGTACTCTCAGTGAGAGACATTGGGTCAAGTTGTACTCTCAGTAAGAGACACTGTGTCAAGTTGTACTCTCAGTAAGAGACATTGGGTCAAGTTGTACTCTCAGTAAGATACACTGTGTCAAGTTGTACTCTCAGTAAGAGACACTGTGTCAAGTTGTACTCTCAGTAAGAGACATTGGGTCAAGTTGTACTCTCAGTAAGAGACACTGTGTCAAGTTGTACTCTCAGTAAGAGACACTGTGTCAAGTTGTACTCTCAGTAAGAGACACTGTTCCACGTTGTACTCTCAGTAAGAGACACTGTGTCAAGTTGTACTCTCAGTAAGAGACACTGTCAAGTAATACTCTCAGTAAGAGACACTAGGTCAAGTTGTACTCTTAGTGAGAGACACTGTGCCAAGTTATACGTTTAGTGATACATACTTTATCTAGTTGTACGTTCGGTGATACATACTTTATCTAGTTGTACGTTCGGTGATAAGACACAATATCATGTTCTACTTTCAGTAGTAGACACTGCACCACGCTGTACGTTAAGATGAGGTAGGTATAGTTCCGTCCACTTACCTGAGGTGACGGGATAGCAGTGTCGCAGTAGAGCGTCCGTATATACAGGCCGTGCGCCTGTCAAACTCTCCACTCCAATACGTGCACAGTCAAGCTACATGGTGAATGCAGGTTTCCATTTGATATATGCACAACTGTTTCAATACTCTGCTGTAATCCTCTGTGTGGTGTTCATTCATAACATAACCGTCGCCCCGTTATGGTTGACGGGGATAAGGGATGGGGTTAGAGGGGGGTATGTGTATGTGTGTGTGTGAGGAAGGGGGGGGGGGGGGGGGGCGTCTGTCGTCTAAGTGGCCTTAATTCAATCAATCAATCTTTATTGTATGAAAGGCCATTGGCCCATATACACATACAGATAAACAATATCGTTTACAGCTGTACAGCTTATTATATAATTATTGGATAACTAATATGATGCTTGACATGTATTAGAGGTATTGTAATAACAGTGGAAATAACCACAGTGGCAGTAGTAATATAAAATACAAAAGGAATGGAATAGCATAGCACGACGTTCAATACAAAATAATGTATCAGTAATATACTCATCATGTCATGAAAATTTGACAATTTAAATGTATATGCATTTCTAGTAGAAACTGACTGACTGACTGACGGACGGATCGACGGATCGACGGACCGACCGACCGACCAACCCACTCACTCACTCACCTTTGTGGGGTAACAGTATCTTTGAATACGATAGATGTTATCATGCCGTATGTTTGAAATCTGGTGTCATCACTATTCCATATTCATTCATAAATGCATACATATGATATTATACATTTAAGATAGCAACGCGATACTTCACAAAGAACAATTAAGAACGAAGAGTGGTTTATTTCACGATAAAACGGGTTTTTTCTTTGAAAAGATTTGAACATACGCCCACAATTGATGACATCGTAAACTGGACGATGCCAGTTTTGAGAGAGTGGCAAGTTCTGCACCTTAGATGACGCTGGACAGCGCAGATAAACGCAATGGCTGAACGATCGCATCTAAAAGTGGTCGAGATATCTGGCAATCTGTAATAGAAGAAGAGGTACAGATAATGGCCTTCAATAAACCACTTGCCACATTGTATCTCTATACTGTTAAATGTCACCCCCTGTTTATAAAATGGGTTTGTTCGACCTTACCGAGATCGGATTGTATTTAGGGAGTCATAATGTAAATTGAAAATTATATTAACATCCTAAAAAAGGATGTTAATAATGTTGATCATTTATGAAAAAAATATAACTCGGGTCGTTGTTTATCCATTGATTTTTTGGTTAATGATAACTTTTTGCAAAGTCCTTTATGATAAGGAGCAGTGTCTCTGGTCTGAACAAGAGCAAGTTTGGCCGTGATCTGCGAGTCATACGGTCATTCATGCGGAACAACCGTAACCACTCCCCTCCCCACCCCCACACCCCACCTAGCCCCCTACCCACACACCCCACCCACACAAGTCACGACAGAACGCAACAACGCAACAAAGCTTTAGAAGCTGACTTTCAACATTGTTGCACTACTTCCGTTTCACAACCAAGATGGCTGACATCACCACAACCCGTATTTGGGAAGTTTTGGAAACAGTATGTTTCCGACATATGCGGTCTGGACCACTGTCAGCCTTGTCGCATGATGGGGTAGAGGCACGTGAAATTATCAAACTCACAGACAATAGAAATCAACAATCCTTGATGGGGGTTACAAAACTGACTGCGATAGAAAACATACCATACTTGTATTCTGCAGGGTCCAGATTAGACAGACGCGTGAAGAACCCATGCTTGCCGGAAAAGGCGACTAACAGGATCGGGTGGTCAGGCCCGCTGACTTGGTTTAAGCATGCCATCGATCCCAATTGCGTTGATCGATGCTCATGAGATTAATCACTGGATTGTCTGGTCCAGACTCGATTATTTACAGACCGCCGTCATATAGCTGGAATATTGCTGAGTGAGGCGTTAAACAACAAACAGCCAAATAAACAAACATGCCCGTTATAGGCCGAGGGGTGACTAAAGGGATGATAGGTAATACGTTAAGAGTGAGTGAGTATGGTTTTACGCCGCTTTTAGCAATATTCCAGCAATATCACGGCGGGGGACACCAGAAATGGGCTTCACACATTGTACCCATGTCGGGAATCGAACCCGGGTCTCCAGCGTGACGAGCGAACGCTTTAACCACTAGGCTACCCGACCGCCCCAATACGTTAAGAACATACAGGCTTTTTAAATCAGACTTGACTGTTGAATATTATGTTTTTAAGCTTAGATATGAGGACCTACGCCGTGTTTTAGCTTTATTTCGATGTGGAAGTTTATCCTTTGCTATAGAAACTGGACGCTATTCTAAACCACCAACCCTACTGTGTGATAGAATTTGTAAATACTGTTTTAATACTTTAAATATCCGCACTGTTGAAGATGAAAACCACTTTCTTATATGTTGTCCTATTTATAAAGGTTTAAGATATGAAATATTTCATGAAGCTTCAAATGTATCAAATGAGTTTTTATACCCTTGATGATATGCATAAGTTATGTTTTATATTGAAATCGGACGACTTACAGTATTGTTTATCTAAGAGTGAGTATGGTTTTTCGCCGCTTTTAGCAATATTCCAGCAATATCACGGCGGGGGACACCACAAATGGGCTTCACACATTGTTCACATGTCGGGAATCGAACCCGGGTCTTCGGCGTGACGAGCGAATGCTTTAACCACCAGGCTACCTGACCGCCCCTGCATGTCTCTTGAAGAAAGAATAAAATAATACATTAACATTTTAAGGAAAGTATTTTATTGTAACGGTAATAATATAAGCATGATAATAAAGAATCATTTATGTCGTTCAAAAAGTCAGCATGGACGAGTATCTCTTGTAGTATTGACATAGTTAAGCCATAAACATTTCTGTATATGTTTGCGATGATTTATTTTTATCAGACCAACTAAGGTCACAAAACGATTTTCTTGCTGCAGAATACATATGAACTATGAAACATTTACATTTCACGGGACAGACTAAAGTTTACCCACTCACTGATATCCTTTTAACATGAGGCAGGAATGTCCTCCTGAAATAGACACATCAACACAATGCAGGCTATGCATAGTGACAAGAATTGACATGCATGTATAACCATTTGGCATCTCTTACATTTTAATCATTGATATAGCTTAAAGCATTATTTCATCTCATAGTAACTAATGCCAAAATAATACTTTGTTCATAACACAGTTTGGGAAAGGTTTACAAAATCAATGTTATTTATCAGGTCAAATACTTACATGTATGTTCTAAAAGTCAAACTTGATACACAGAAATACATCGACGGACTATGTCCCTTTCGACAAAAGCACCCAAAGCCATACAGTATTTTATCATCCAAAACTGGCTCCTACAGGAGATATCGCTTGGATGAGATCAAGCGATATCTATACTGTAGATATCGCTGCAATGAAATTACATCACAATGGTTTGCAGACCATTGTGACATCACTTGTTACCATGACGTCACAATCAAATGACATCACTAATGGCTCTGTTACTGAAGCTGTTTTCAGTACTTTTGGCACTGAAGACGCTGCTAATTACTGTCTACAAATTGAAAAAGTTGAAAGAATGATGTTGGATGATAAATAAAATCTCACCCTCGTGTCTTTTGATATCAAATATATCAACACTCGTTGATAAAAGTGGCAAAAATCTTCGGCAAGCCTCGGAATTTTTCCACTTTTATCAACTCATGTTGATATATTTGATATCAAAAGACACTCGGGGGAGATTCTCTATATGTCATAATTTGTGAACACATGTCTAGAGCCCAACAAACCTGATTTTGAGATATGCAGTTTAAGTAGACATACATTACATGTTTATGAATGCATATTTTTGTATAAATTAATAAGTTTTTATTAATTATTAACAAGGCTTAAAACTACGTGAAGACGTTTCTATGTTGTTTGGCCCTCCAGATATTTTGGATCATTGTTATTTCAGTTGGTGGGTACGCAGTTCATCTTCTTACATGTTTTAAACCTGACAATGTTTACATGCTCCTTCATAGCAGATCTCCAGCAGTTCATGTCTTGATTATAAAAATCAAACAACAAGTATATTATCTCTACACAAGGTATGCACAACTCCTAGGAACTTGCAGTCACGTTAATTTTAATTTTAATTTTAATAATATTTGTTTAAACATTGTATACCATTGTTAACCATTGAAATGGCAATAACCAGCAGCATTTGTAAAACAGCTTAAATTAAACAGACATACCCAACAATGTTTTCAAAGCCAATGAAATACATGCGTCAATGTGAAGATATTAAGTTTAACGACCCTTTGAACAATATTTCAGTTATATCATGACTTGTCAGCTTGATATCGGAGGAAAGTCCAAAGTCTAATCTAATAAATGTCCTCTTAACATGCACCAAAACAGAATATATGTGAAACTTCTATTATAAACATAAAAAAATATAGTGTCATAAAATCACTCAATAGTTAATCAAATAACCATGAACCCAAACCAATACATTATATTAATGATTATAATTTAGTATTTGAAATAGATATATCAAAGCCTAACCTATAAAACACACATATCCCTTCATTTCGAATTTCATTCGAATATACATTATAATGGTCATAATGAAAGTATGTCAGTCAAATTATATTTTTTTATTTTACTTGCATAATTCAATTTAAGACCTTTTAGTCTTATATGTTTTCACGGGTATAATTCTGACAAACCCAGAAACCAAATCGGGGACAACTGGACCCACTATCAATGTTTTTAACACGCACCTCAGACGACTTAGCCACAAGTGCCCCTCTAAACATACATGTGTACACCTCTACACGTTCCATTGTTGTTATTGGTTGAGTATATGTAACTGTAAGCTACTACTACATAAATACGTCAAAGATTATGCCCTCAAAAATTATTTCACCTTTTGAAAGATACAGATACAAATAGAACAAGAACAATATATAAATTGTGTACACATTTAAAAGACACACGTGCATTATGACTACAGAAATGAAAACAATGTTG